AAATGTAATCCATCACATCAAGAGGCTAAAAATCATCACATGATCCTTTCAATAGATTTAGAGAAAGCACTTGACAAAATACAAGACCCATTTATGGTAAAAACTTTCAGTTAACTAGAAATAGAGATGGACATTCTCAACTTGATAAAGAATATCTACAAAATATCTATAACTAATTTTTAATAAGAAACTTACAGTTTTCTCATTAAGATTATGAACAAGGCAAAGATGCCCCCTTTCATCATTCTTTTTCAACATCATACTGGAAGTTGTAGTGATATAAATAAGATAAGAAAAGATAATAAAAGGTAGACAGATTTGAAAGGGAAGAAGTAAACTGTCTTTGTAGATGACGTAATTGCTTAGATAAAAAAAATTAAAATTTAAAATATTCCTATAACAAATAAATGATTATAGCAATGTAACAGGCCACAAGGTTAATATACAAAAGTCAATACAAACAAATATGATATGAAATTAAAAACACAACAGCATTTACATTAGCATCCCCCAAATGAAATATCTAGGTTTAAGTCTAGCAAAATAAATATAAGATGTATGCAAATAAAACTATAAAACTCTAATGAAAGACTTAAAAAAACCTAAGTAAGTGAAGAGCTATTTCATGTTCATGGATAGAAATACTCAATATTGTCAAGATATCAGCTTTTTTCAACTTCATTTATAGATTTAATGCAATTCCAATAAAAATCACAGAAAGTTATATTGTGTATCTTGATAAACTGATTCTAAAGTTTATAGGGAGGGGCAGTAGATCCAGAAAACTCAACACAACATTAAAAGACAAAGTTGAAAGACTGACCCACCTTACTTCAATACTTACTATAAAGCTATAGTAATAAAAACAGTATGGTATTGGCAAAAAAAAAATAAATAAATAGTTTAGTGGAACAGAATAGAGAACCCAGAATAGATACATATTAATATAGTCAGCTGATCTTTGACAAAGGAGAAAAGACAATATATGGGGTAAAGATAAACTTTTCAACGAATGGTGCTGAAACAACTCAACATCCACATGCAATAAAACATGAACCTAGACACAGCCATTACATACTTCACAAAAATTAACTCAAAATAAACCACAGACCTAAATGTAAAATGCAAAACTATAACACTCATAGAAGATCACATATGAGATTATCTAGATAAACTAGATTTGGCAACTACTTTTGGATGGACCAAAGACCTTGGAAGACACCTCATTAAAGGAAATATCAGATGACAAATAAGCATATGAAAAAATGCTCACATTAAGTGTCATTAGTGAAGTCCAAATTGAAACAGGGAGTTTCCACTACATATCTATTGAAATGGCCCAAATCCAGAACACTGACAACATCAAATGATGGAGACCATGTGGAGCAACAGGAACTCCCATTCATTGTTGGTGGGAATGCAAAATGGTACAGCCACCTTGGAAGACAGTTTGGCAGTTTCTAACAAAACTAAGCATAACCTTCCCATATGACCCAGCAATCATGCTTTTTGGTATTTACACAAAAAAGTTGAAAATGTATTTTTACACAAAAGCCTGCACACAGATGCTTCCAACAATTATATCCATAATTGTCAAAACTTGGAAGCAACCAAGATGTCCTTCAAAAGGTGACAATGTAATATTATCCAGCTCTAGAAACAAATGCACTATCAAGCAGTGAAAACACCTGAAAAAACTGTTAAGTAAGATAAGCCAGTACAAAAGGTATTATTCCAAATATATGACAGTCCATAAAAGTTAAAACTATGAAAACAGTAAAAAGACCAATAGTTGGAGAAAGGGAGGGATGAATAGAAAGAACACAAATAATTTTTAAGGCAATAAACCTACTCTGTATGATAATATAATAATGGATACATATCATTATACCTTGTATGATGCTCAAACCTCCATGCTACGAATCCCTGCCATCATCAGCAAATGAGGAGGGTACAAACTGTGTGCCCTTCTCAACAATGTATCCTTACTACAAAAATATGCCCATAATTTCCCATAATTTGTGGCCCATGACTCAGCTTTCTACTCCTCTTCCACCAGTTAAACTCTCCACTTGCCTCCATGAAATTGCTCATCTACATCCAGCAACACACCCTCTGCATTCTCAATCCCTTTTTTGACTCTTTCTTATTTTCTTCTATTTTAATGGAAACCTGAATCTTGCCTGAAAAATCTCATTTTCCTCTACCTGGCTCAAGAGTTGTTTTTATTTTCTCACTTTCAATGTTGGGGATCTGTCCTTCTGGCTTCTAAAGTACTTTTTCAATTGTCTTTTATGAAAAATCCTGTTCCTTTAAAGTTTATGCCATTTACACAGTGGCAGAGATTTCTAAAAATGCATTTCCTCTTTTCTCTCAGGGTTCCATTTCCCAGCCTTTTTTACAGTAAAATGAGGTCATGTAATTTACTCCCACCTAATAGATTATTAATCAAAAAGTGATGTGAGTTCTTGTAGATCAGACTTTTTTTGTTTTGTTTTGTGTTTCTTCGAGACGGAGTTTCACTCTTGCTACCCAGGCCGGAGTACAATGGTGCGATCTCGGCTCACTGCAACCTCTGCCTCCTGGGTTCAAGCACTTCTCCTGCCTCAGCCTCCAGAGTAGCTGGGACTACAGGCGCGCGTCACCATGCCCAGCCAATTTTTGTATTTTTAGTAGAGACGGGGTCTTTTAAGAATTGGGCATGCATTGGCTCTGTTTTCTTTCCCCATCTGCTGACTACATGCAGATAGCAAAGAAATCTATGTAACAATGAAACCATAAGAAGGAAGACGCCTGGATCTCTAATTCACTACTTGGATAAAGCTAGTTATGTGCTGCTACCTTAAACAGGAAATACCCCTCACTTGGAGAAGAACAAATAGTATCAGGAAATAAATTGCTACTGTCCTTGAGCCATTATAATAATGTGGGCTCTAGTTTTTGATGCGTCTGACATTATGCTTAACTATACCCTTCATTATAGTTTAATGAAGTTTCAATATAGTTTATATTATTAATATAAACTACTAAATTCAATATAGTTTATATTATTAATGGGAAAATTTACATATAACATTTTTTTCTCTCTATCCGAATTCTAGCATTATCATGAGTAACTGGAATATCCATTAGATAACTTATTAAAAACTATGTCCTCTCAAGTACTTGACCTCTAGTTTCAAATTATTTCTTCCTCAACCTCAGTTTGGTTATTTACTCTCATAGGAATACTTTCAATATTATCATCTCCTATAACTCCTCCATCTTCAACATCAAAATCAACCAATCTGCCATATGACTATAATCTCTCCTTCCTACCAGCTTGTTAAAGCACTCTCATGATGACTATTATTTGGTTTCATTGCAACGAGTCATCCTTCTTTCACTTCCTTCCACAACTATCTCACATTCCATGGTGCTTCATTTGAATAACATCCTGAATTTCATTGATTTTCTGTTTTTTCATTACATGTAACCAGCAAAACCGCAAGCCTGTAGGAATTGAGCTGTCTGCCTTTTCTATGATGTCATACCCACAGAATGGAGCAATAATAAGTAATACCATACAATCGGGAACACCAATTCCAGTATAAAGATGTTTCACAAGTTTCTAATTAACTCTCAACACTTCCAACAATACAACCACCAACTTAACATCTATCTCTCAAATATGTCAAAGGCATCCCAAATCAACACTTCTATATCTAATCTAGTGAACATTTCCCATAAATCTGTTCGGTCAGAATTATTTCTCAGTAAGTGGCCCACTTTTTAATCTGGAGCTCTGAACTATAAATCTTGCAGTCATCCTTGATAATTCTCCCTCTTTCAACCTTTAATATCAATCCTTCTCAAACACGAGATATTACCTCCTAAATATCTATCAACTTTTCCTCATATTTCCTATTATCACACTAGTCCAAGCTAATATCTTCTTCCCTGGAGTATGTCTTAAGAAACGGAATTTTATATTAGTTGTATTACCTGATTATCATCTATAAGCTTACTACACTATAAGCTCCATTAGACTAGGTTTTTGTTCATTTTGACTCACTATTTTATCTCTGGCATCATGTATTATTTCTTTGCTTATAGTGGCTTGATATGTATTTGCTGAATAAATGGGCAAATGGATAAATTATGCAAGTAAGTGTATAATTTTCATCACAATAAACATTCATGTATAAAGCAAGGATTCATATCCGAATCATATAAGAGAAAAAATCTGAATTTAACAGAATGCTAGGAAGCAGATGAATTTGGATTCAAATTTAGATCTTCTCAATTTCCCTAACTCTGACTCCTGAGTGTCTTTCCATCCGTATACCATGATGCATATTGAACCTTATGAAACATTCTGTCTTCATTTAACTTACAGCCATAGACTCAGAGAATTAGCTCTAATTTTTCATGCAGTTATCTGTGACTATAAAAATAGTGCTAATGGAAGGCATTCTAATGCTTTAAAATATACAGCATTCACTCCAAATACTTTAAAAGAAACATTTTAATTTTGTGAATGAAAATGTTTAATAGCCCACACTCCAAATTAAAATTGATACCAAAATGTATCCAAAGTAATCATCTCACAAAAGGAAAGGGACTTAATTTAAAAAACATTGATTTTTTTATTGAGTGTTTGCCATGTTGTAGACATTATGCTAAGCAATTTATATGTGCAGAAAATAGAACCTATTATTATCCCTATTTTACAGATACGAAAGTTGAGAATTAGAGGAAATAATCAAAGCCAGGAGCCAAATACAACGTCTTTATGATTCCAGACACTGCACTTAACATTAAATTGCCTTCCCAATAAGTAGTTAATTCTTTCATTTTGAGCCATTACTTAGTGAAAAATCAACAAGAACAGTTTTTTCTATTAATAGCATCTGATAATGAGACATTTCAATTATAATCAGATGGAGAAGGAAAATACTATATACATTATAAAGCTTAGCATTTTCGAGGTATTAAATGAGCAAATTGTTTAGTCTTACCCATGAATTCAATTCCCAAGTGGTCTGCTACACCAAAGTCAGCATGGAAGGAAGGGAAAGAGAAAAAGGAAAAGAGAGAAGGGTTAGAAAAAACTCTGTACATGGAAATCAGCGCTTATAAGACTAATCCTCCAAGGTAAGGCATGTGTCTCAATTTTAACTCCTATGTTTGCTTAGAAAAGATAAATTACAGATCACCAACAATAGAGTTGGTCTGAACACTGATGGGTATTTCCCCAAAGCCTCTGAGCTATAGCTTAGAATTTTAGATGGACTAACATTGCATAACTTACGAAGAATGCTAAGTAAAAATTTAGCAAAGAAAAAGAAAAATCGTTATACCATGAATATCTGGCACTAATATTCTTTTCAGAACCCATAATATTTTCTGTGGAATAACTATTTGTTCCACATGAATTTATTTGAACCTCTGTAATAAAAATAACACTGAATAAGCAAGGAACTTCTGTGTGACAGGCCCTAATCAGGTGTGTTTTCCTCCACAAAAAAGCAATGATGTTGGACTTTTTTTTCTCTTTCACTTTTCAGATGAGAAAACTTTGCTTCAGCAAGATTAAAACTCTTACAGAGGTTACAAAATTTGAGACAGATCCATGGCACAAATTCGGTTGATCTGAGCATTAAGCCCTGTGACTGTTTGCCTTGACAGCCCATCCTATCAAACACAAATGGCAGACATGTCCATGTATGTTCTACGTGCATGTAGATCACAGACCATCTTGACCAGCTAACAGCTGCCTGATCAGCAAAGCAATGAACCGTACTGGGCTGGGCCCATGCATTCAACTTTAGATATTCCTCTATTTAAATTTTTTTTTAATCATTTAGTTATTCACTCATTCATTTTTAAAATTCAATGCATTAATGAATAATTTTTTTCTGTTGCCATATTTGTCTGAAGTGAGAATAAGAAAAAAGCTATTGCCACCATTGCATTTGCTTCTGAGACTAATTGCTGAGCTTCCTTTTTTGAGTTCTTTATTTAGCAAATAAGCTTTTCCTCTTAGAAAATGTTCTTTTAGTTACCTTGCTTTCGATGCCTTTTGTGTTTATAAATAAGTCATTTAAAAATTTTATTGTGGAAAAAATGTGTATATATATATGTATATATATGTAACGTAAAATTTATTATTAAAACTATATTTAAGTGGATGACTTAGTGTCATTAGTTATTAGGTTGGTGCAAAAGTAACTGCAGTTTTGCCGTTACTATTAACTTGTTACATTCACAGTGTTGTACAACCAGCACCACCTTTTACAGGTTTACAGAAACTCTGTATCCCTTAATCCAGAATTCCTCATTCCTCCCTCCTCCTAGCCGTTGGTAACTTCTAATCCACTTTCTGTGTCTATCAGTTTGTCTTATGAAGTGTTCACATCTAAAAAAAGATGGTGTCAATGTTTTTAAAAAGTAGATGCATTCGTTTCTTTCCCTGACATTTCTTGACTGCTTACTCTGGGCTCATCATACACACAGTGATAGATATCAGGCACAATTAAGACAGGATTCTTGTTCTCGAGTAGCTCAGAAATGAATGAGAGATCATGGATAAAATGCTCTGGTTATTCATTGTAGTAAGTGCTATAATGGAAAAGCAGAAAATGTGCACTGGATTAAGAGGCCATGGACTATAAACTTGCTCCTGGGAGGGAGAGAATGCAATACAAAGAATGGAGTTTGTACAACCTCATCAAAAAGTGGGCAAAGGATATGAATAGACACTTCCCAAAAGAAGACATGTATGAGGCCAAGAAACATATAAAAAACCTCATCATCACAGAAATGCAAGTCAAAACCACAATAAGATACCATCTCATACCAGTTAGAATGGCAATTATTAAAAAGTCAGAAAACAACAAATGCTGGCAAGGATGTGGAGAAATAGAAATGCTTTTACACTGTTGGTGGGAGTGTAAATTATTTCATATATTATGGATGACAGTGTGGCAATTCCTCAAGTATCTAGAAACAGAAATACCATTTGATCTAGCAATTCCATTACTGGGTATATACTCAAAGGATTATAAATCATCCTACTATAAAGATACATGCACATGTATGTTTATTGCAGTACTATTTACAATAGCAAAGACTTGGAACCAACCCAAATGCCAATCTATGATAGACTGGATAAAGAAAATGTGGTGTATATATATATATATATATATATATATATATATATGTATATACACACACCATGGAATACTATGCAGCCATATAAAAGAATAAGCTCATATCCTTTGCAGGGACATGGATGAAGCTGGAAACCTTCATTCTCAGCAAACTAACACAGGAACAGAAAACCCAACACCGCATGTTCTCACTTATAACTGGGAATTGAACAATGAGAACACATGGACACAGGGAGGGGAACATCACATATTGGGGCCTGTTGGGGGATGAGAGACAAAAGAAGAGAGAGCATTAGGACAAATACATAAGGCATGTAGGGCTTAAAACTTATATGACAGGTTGATAGGTGCAGCAAACCACCATGGCACATGTATACCTACGTAACAAACCTGCAGATTCCGCACATGTATCCCAGAACTTAAAGTAAAAATAAAATAAAAAAGAACGGAGTTTGTAGAAAAGTTGGCAAGACTGTTGTCAGTAGGCTTGTTCAGGTTGTTGACTTCTCTGCACAAAATATGTTGAGAGTGAATTCCAAGTAAGAATAGACAAAGAAGTTTATATCAAAGTGAAAGTATTGAAAAGTGAGGTGCAACAAACTACTTTGTCTATATTTACTTTAGATTTGCTCTCAAAATCTTAGAGGCAAAGTGAGCTGCTCAAAAAGAGAGAGATAACCCTTAGTGCCTTGAAGGGATTGCCCTTTATGGGAACTGTACAGGCATATTCATAAAACACTGGTGAGGTCAAGTATGTGAAGGTGGATCTGTGGTTAGTACAGGCACTCAGTATCCACATTCATTAAGACACATCACATGTATCATTAGCACATAAAATCTCTATCTAAGGATTTTTTTTTGGATATTAAAATGAGAAAAATATTACCGTAAGCTAAACCTTGAATCTAGCTACACGTGTAAGGCCCTGCAGAAGTCTCTGCCCTTCTCCCAATGCCCAGCAGGCAGAAACTTGTAGCTAATAGTTTCTTGTGTTTTGGGTGTTGATTGGCTGGAGACTGGGGAAGTTACATCAGGAATAAGGGACTTTTGTTCTCTTCCCCAAACCCATATTGAGAATTAGAAACTTGTAACCATCTGGCAGTCTGTTGGTATTCGGTAGGACCCAGTTATCTTGCAAAAGAGTTAGGTGTTGATGCATGAGGGTGCAAGGGGAAAAAGCCAGCTGCAAAAGGGGCCCATGGGGCTTTACACAAAGGATAAATAAGTATGGGTCCTAACCTTACTTATCCTGACTCAAGACCACATTTTCATTATTGTCAAATAAGAAGCTTCATGACTGTGGTACCTAGGACGTTGGAGAGAGACTAGAATTATGGCATTTAAAATAAAGATTACCTATCATTATACTAAAAATAACATTTTAAAAGGCTTGGAATAAAACTAAAGTTTTTCAGACAGGCAGAAGAGGAGGTTGCAGGCAGAAAACCAGGAGGGGAAAGTGTATAGAAATCAGGGAGCAGAGGACCTCAAATAGTGGACCGCAGGTGTCCCATGACGTGAGTGGGCAGTTAGAAGGCCTTTAGATTCAGCCTGTTAGAACAAAAACTTTCCGGTGGAGCTGAGATGGCTCAGATTGGCTGCCTGTCACCTGTTTTGCTGGCAGGTATAACCCCTGCATGGCCTTTCTTCCTTCTTCCGTGACCTTGAGTGCTCTGCCTCTGCAGGTGACAAGGGATATGGAGAATCAGGCAGGCTTTGTGAATCTGTAGACTGTGCTAAGAAATGAGTGGCATTTTTGATAAATGTAGGGCCAAACTGAATGCTTTGAAACCTCAACACATTCATAGCCAGTAGCAGAGACAGAAATCAGAATTTGAAAATGATTGAAACATTGAAGAATATAAGTAGAAATCTTCTTAAGAGAAAGAAAATCTGTCCTCTTTTAACATAACAGAAAAGTTGCATCCAATTATCAGAGTTGTTAACTTTAAGAAATACTCTCAAGCAAGATGACATTTATATGTTTATAATTTAAAGGGAAATTACTAATGTTTTACAATAGCTTATTCATGGAAACTGATACCACTGAAAATAGAAACAAAAAGTTAACTCTTATGTAAAATTTCTTTCTTTCTTTCTCATGCACACACACACACTCACACTCACACTCACATATACATGCTTCCATTGTTTTATTAAAATGTTAAACACTGTGATTATTATTGCTGAGTTTAAGAAACTGACAGGATTCGGTTCATACGGAAGAATTAATGAAAATCCATGAAGAACAGAAGACAAAGGCAATTCATTTTGTCATTTGGGCCATAAACCACACCACTTCTCATAACCCTTCCTGGCTGGCTATACTCCAAAGCAAACAGTGTGCCCAGGAATATTCAGGCCTGAGGGAAAACATCAAGAGAGACAGGGGAAGAGTATTTACTGAGCACTTACTGTGTACCGGGAAATGCCTGAAGTATTATCTCACAGCAATTTAGAAGATTATTATAATGCTCATTTTACAGGTAAGAAACAGAAGCGCAGAGAGGTGAATTAGCTTTCTCTAAACCACACTACCTGTAAGTGCTGGGAACATGATTGAGCCCAGGCCAGCTTGGCTCTTAGCTACCAGTAATACTCAAAGTTTACTTATCCCCTTCCTATAAAGAAAAAGCTAATTTTTACAAAATTATCAGGTAATGAGATCTTCAGGGAAGAATTATTTAATCCACTTAAGAGAACAAGTTGTTTTCAAATATCCTCAGGCAGAGTAGAAGCACCACTTATTTACTTTCTCACCCCTAGTTTATTGATGAAGTGCCAAATATAAGCTAGGTAGCAGGGTAGACAAAGGAAGACAACTGCTGTCTGTCTCCAAGGAGTCAAACTGGCCAATCCTTAATATTTCTTCA